GAGAGAGAGAGAGAGAGAGAGAGAGAGAGAGAGGGACGCACAGACAGATAAACGGACGGACGGAGTTACGAGTCTACATAGGGTGGCGGCTAGCAGCGAGACAGACAAATAGACACACAAACAGCAGTTCACATGTTGTTGCAGAGAACAACCCTGCGAACTGGAGGGAGAAAAAGAGGAGACGATTGTGACAGACTGTTTCCTCCGACTTTCATCAGGTAAGTAATCCATTAAGTACCGACAGTCAGAAGACTCAGAACTAGCGTTCAAATTTAGAGAAGCAAAATGGTGTACGCAGCTTCTCCTTGGCTTAAGCGCCAGGTGGATGTTTACATTCTTCTGGAGACGGTCGAGGCTGGTATGGGCTGGCTCCTGCTCAGCGTGTTGACGATAGGCGTTGGGGCTCTGGGACAGTTCATGACAGCATGGATTTTCTGGACAGGCGTGGCTATGTCCGTCCTTGAGGGCAGCTCCAAGTATCTCCGAGGACGCATCCATCGCTTCTTTTTCCATGTCATGTCATGCTGCCAAGTGTCAACAGCTCAGGGCACTTCATACCGATACAAGCTGGGAACTTGCAGAATGCTTGGCGGTCGATTTCGAGTCACGTTCGCGTATGTTCTTATAATCGCCATTGTTCGGCTCTTGGTTATGGGTTTGCAACTGGGCTTTGGGATTCACATGCACACTCGAATCCACGATTTCAAGAAGAATCCGGATTTCGACGAAGACATGGGGAACAAGCGTGTGGTTGAGAGCATCCACTGCACGTTTTACTTTCTTGTTCTTCACTCAGCGATGGTGGTGGTGCTTAAATTCTTCTCGTTTTTCAAGGCGTTATTGTGCCCATTAGTTTCCTGGATATGTGGTACATGTTGGAAGCATTGCTGTTTTTGTGGAGGTTGTTGGAAGGGTGGTTGCTGTGGGAGGACCTACTGCCGGGGTGAGGACGACTGTTCGTCGTTGACCAGGGGCCCTTTGATGGAGCGTGTGGGTCGCACGCAGAGAGCGATGGAGATGGGCGTGACTTGGTACGTGCATCGGCATCGGCACCGGTACTTCACTGCGGTCGAGGCGCAGGCCAACGAACAGGAATGCGGACTTCAGGGCTACTGGTTTCTGTCGGTGAAGGATCTGGTAAAGCAGGTGGGGGACCACTTGGCTGACCTGGCAGATGAGAATAGGTACGCGGCGTCGAAGAGGAGAGGAAGAAAGGTCGGGAAGGAGCTGACTATGGCATTGGAGTCTCTTCTGGAGCTGTCCAGAGAGCAGACGGCGTGCGACTGTGGCGATGATAGCTCGACGAGACGGCCAGCTACCTCACGGACTTGCCTCAGACTAGTCGTTGCAGGCACGACGTGGACGCGTGTCGGCACTTCGCACGAGCTGGCGGCTATCTTGTGATGCTGCAGGTGCTGAATTCTTGCCCGGAGGACTCAGACGACGTACACCTGGCAGCCTCCATCTTGTCAGGCTTTGCTGCAAGTCTTTCAGTTCTCACCTGGCAACCTGGCCAGTCGCAGGAGATCGTACAAATGCTGGAGCACGAAGACTTCAGGTGTTGTACGAGGCAAGTGCTCTGGCGCTTGGGTAAGTTGATGCAGCGCACACTCAGGGCACCAGCAGGTAGCGCACAGTGCCAAGCCTCTATGATAGCACCACATGCAGGCAGCGCACAAGGGAACGGCATCTTAAATGGTGAGGACGAGCTTAAGAAGCACACGCGTATGCTTAGTAATGCCTTCACCACCTTTTGTTCTCTCGGATGGTTCCTGGACGGGCAGTTCCCTCCAATTCAAGCCGTCTCTGATGGATGGTTTCAGTGGTTGCAGACTGTATGGGGGGCACTAACGGATGGCAGTGATGGCATCATTTTGAAGACCCTACTGGACTGTGCGAGCCGTCCGTCGGACTTCCCGCGCAAGGTGGTGGCTGACTCCATGAGGACCCTCTTCTCCCTCTTCTCCCGCAGGATGATCTATTGGCACCGGTTCGATATGCGGCACGCGGAGCTGCCTGAGCCTTTCATCCACATCAGCTCTGTCAAAGCCTCAGCAAATCTGCGAGAAGGACTGGAAAGCCTGGTTGTCCGGTGCTGCGATGAGGATGATCCATTATTTTCGGTGTCCGTTTTCTCCAAGCTGCAGCTAGCAAAGATGGCCATCTCTCAAGACATAAGGGATAATGACGAGAAGGTGGTCCAGGTGCTGTTGTTGTGCTTGAGTTATTGGAGGAGAGCACTGGGTGCCAAGGAGCTCGATTGGCTGGCGTGCGAAACTGTGGAGATGCTCAGAGATGTAGTGAGCAGTTCTCACAATCCAGCGGAAATCGGGAGGTTCATTGCGGACTCGCCTGGGGGGCTTGAATGCCTCACTCTGATGCTCCAACCTCGATTCCCTAGGATTGCCGCTATTCGAATCGACACCGAGCAAGACACCTCTGACGCACCGGTGGCGCCTTTGTCTGGGGACGGACGTAGGGCTCCCTCCGCCGAGGGTCAGGTCATCGCAGCTAGCTCCTCCTCCAGCGCCTCCAAGGGGGCATGCAGGAATTTGTTCAGGCGTGTCACCGACGCGAGTTGGGCCGGTGATGAGCAGGTTTCCATTCGGTACTCAGCCCCTGCTGCAGGGCTACTGCAAGACATCATCACCACCACTAGCGGAGGCGATAGGGAGACAAGAGACTTGCTCAATCAGAACTTCTCGGCATTCCTTTTCAGTCTAATGCAGGTGCTGATGAATCTCACCAATGTCAAAACACAAGGTCAGAGATCAGCGGAAGCACAAAGGTGTTGCTGTGGCAGCGCCGGAACGGGCAAACCCGGCAAAGGTTGTGCACCGAGGTGGTGTCAGCATTTTTTAGCCCGCATCGTGCTGCTCTTTCTCGAGTCTCTGGGTCATCCAGCCTGGCACCCGCCTTGTCCATGGCTGGAGACAATAAGCAGTGTTTCTGAGGGGGAACAGGACAACCAGATGGAGCACTTGGAGCAGAACGTGAATATCCTTCTTGGAGCGAGAAACGCGTTGCGTTTGTTGAATCATCTCATCGATTCTCGCTGGGAGAAGCTCAGCGAGGAGGAACTCGACTTGCTTAGGGATAGATTGGTTCCGTTGTGTCAGGTCCCAGCTCCTCAGCTGCATTTAGTTCTCACACTTCCAGATTGGAACGTGGAGATCAAGAACACAATTACTAGGTTGCTTGAGGACATTAATTCTTGTATACAGGGTAAGATGGGAACACCGGGAAGCAGTGCACCACCGCGGCTGCAGCCGAAAGAGAGAACTGTTCACGGCGTGTTTGAACGTGCTCGAAGAGCACGAAAACAGGAAGCAAGAAGAGACAGGAAACGGGCCTCAGAACGAACCCACAGGCAGGCGAAATCCTCAGGCGAGGGGGAGTCAACTGGGTACGGGTAGGCAAAAACAGGGGACGCCAACTTCAAGGCCACCTTCTCACCCGCTGACCATCGGAGGGGCTTGAGCCAGTGACCAGGATGCAGATGACAATGGCGACCAGCTTTCTCACAATAGGCGACAAAAAGGGAAAGGGAGGGGGAGGGGAAAATTGTTGCCTGTCGATGGTGATCAAACTCGCAAGAGTCGCAGCATGGAGCTGGCCACGAAGCAGAACGTGAGCAGCGCAGAAGATACCAACCAGGGTGATGCGGCGGATGCAGCCCCTTCCGGCAGGCCCAGTCTATCGACGGATGGGATTGACAAGTCTATGCAGCAGGCGTCCAGTAGTGGGGACGCACGTGATGCTGGCCCTTATGATGAAAACACAAGTGCTCAGCAAAGTCAGCACGGAGGGGAATTGGGATCTGGATCTACGAGTGCCCAGCATTCCCAAGAGACATCAGACTCCACTTCAGGAGTGCCTAGTACGGAAAGCAGCACTCACGATGCATCTCAAGCCAGACGAGAGAGCGGAAGCGCACAGGATAACAGCTGTCTAACGAGGCTATCTCCTGTCGTGAGCGGCCAAGCAGACACCAGCGATCCGGGAGACGAGAACGGGAAGCGCTTGCCTTTGCTTGCATGATGGATTGAGGTGTCTTCATCTGACTCAGTCTGACTGACCAGCATATCCGGTGATTAAGCTGGACCTCTTCGGACTGATCAGAACCGATACTATACATGATCTTAGCCCAAAGGAGGTCTGCGGCCCCTTGTTGGAGAAGTGGTCTGGGATGTATATGAACCGATACCACATCTTTGTACTTTAATCATTATGTGTATGGGACGCTGGATCCGTTTTCCAGCACGTGATGCTCCCCACGAATAGATGACCAGTCATGAATTGATCTACCCAAAAAAAAAAAAAAAAAAAAGGAGAAAAGGAGAAAAGGAGAATAGGTTGGTTAGGTTGGTACCGTACCGGGCCAGCGGGCTTGCTTGGTTCCAGAGCGGAGGCCCATGAACTCATTTCTGAAATCAGGTGTTCTCGGGGACATATTCGTGTTGTTATCCCCCTGGGTTTCGACGGCCCTTCTCGTCTACTTGTCAAATGATCTAGATCAGAAGAGGGAAGCTCGTTTTCCTCCTTGTTGTTTTTCTCTGTGTCCTCTTTTTCCTACCCTTTTGCCTGTCTGTCAATCCGTAACAGGTGATGTAAGGAAGAGGCGAGGGAAAGCCAGCTGGTATTGGTCCGGCCACCTCTCTCTCTCTCTCTCTCTCTCTCTCTCTCTCTCTCTCTCTCTCTCTCTCTCTCTCTCTCTCTGTGCTGTTGCCCAGCTGCTGCACATCTGTGTGATAATGATGTGGAGTTTTCACTTTGTGAAATTCCTTACTTAGGGCAGAGGTTTGGCTGTAATTTCGCAAGGTTTCTCTGTTGGGTGACACACACAGTGCGTGCTGCCCCACGCCTGCCATTGCCTGGTTTCCCTCGGGGCTACAATCCTGTGTATCTGGGTACTTCACGCCGTTCACTGGAGTTTCCTGCCCAGGATGACATCCCTGTTAAGTGGGGACTGGGTCCAAGGGCAAGTGCTGCATGGCAGTGCATGCCAGTCCCCCCTTAGCGGTGTCTACGTCCACAGGCGTAAGGGTGCTCCTTTACTAGTCAGCACTTTCCCTCTTCTATTCTGCCCTTCCCTGCCCCTTTCCTTACTCCACTCTACTCCTCCTCGCTGTCCTGTTTTTCTTTTCTGTATGTTGCGGACTGTTTCTTGATGCTTGCCGGTGATCAGGATCTCAAGGCCGTCGTCCTTCAAAAATAAGAACAAAAAAAATAAAATAAAAAATAATATATATATATATATATATCGTCAAATAGAAATATATATATATATATATATATGTATGGGCCTTGTGAGTGCTTGCCTAAAACAAACAAACAAGCAGACAAGCAAACAAACAAACGAAAACAAAAACAGACAAAAGAAAATAAAAATAAAAAATAATAATAATAAATCCTTCCCACTTTCTTTCACATTCAAGTTGATTCAACTCGTCTCTTTCTCTGACTCTCTCTGCTACAATCTGCCAAACTACCAGGCTCTTCTTATTTTATTTCTGGTTTCAAAGATTTGAATCATTTGACAGACAGAGGTAGATTCCATCCTTGCACGTTGACCCATTTGTCTGTGAGTCCTCATTTCCGTTTGTTTAATCAAATCCTTTGAGGTTTTCTTTAACTGCCATTTCGTCAAGATGGACTTTTTCTTCTTTTTTTTTTAACGAAATTGAAACCTAGTAATTTGGCTGAAAACAGGTCCAAAAATTTAAGCTCCCGAGGGCCGAGGGTCCGGCATTCTTAAAATAAAAATGCCGGACCCCCTGGGGCGAGGTCCCACTAGCAACGGGATAGGATAGAAACGAGTTTGTGGCGCAGTTGAGTGACCCAAATCCTGCCGTGCACTACTCGTGATCCCGCCATCAGTATTTTACATGTATTACCCGAAAAAGTAAGGAGATCTTCGTTCCCCTCCTCTCCTTAACTCTGGGCATGCCCGTGCAAAGACAGCTTCCCGTCAGAATCTTTTCAATCCGGGTGTGGCCAACCCCAAACGAGGTTGGGGTCGGCCTTAGCCCACTGGATAGAAGATTTTCAGCATTTTACTTGCTGTTGCGAAATTACCACATTGGGTGGAGCCCTCCTTCAATCACGGAGTATATGGAGGGTGTCAGGATCACTGCTGTCAGAAGTCCAGTTTATTCCAGAAAATGTGGCGGTTACGTTGTTCACCGTTTTTGCAACCACCACCATCAGATCATTTGTGATCTGATGGCTGGGAAGCATGCTGCTGTGATTTCCCATGGGAGGTCTCTGTTTCTTCTTTTTTTTTTGTCCTTTTTCCTGTTTTCTCAGCCCAGAAATTCGTAATGAACTTGTCTGGCCGCTGCCACTCAGTGTCACACTGGATCGGCCACACTCCTATCCGACTTCGCCCCTGGATGTAGATGGAATTAGCTCGAGACCAGATACATCCAGGCGGTCAGACGTTTTAAGAACGCCCTACCCTCAGCCTCAGGAACGGAAACTTTGGACTTGTTTTCAGTCAAATTACTCGGTTTCAATTTCGTTCAAACCAAAAAAGAAAGGGGAAAGTTGGGAAACTGCTCGTGGGTCACCTTTTTAGTCCACAATGGCAAGAAAAACATGGCGTCGCGAAACCGACTTCGTCGGAGTTCCAAAAGGCAAAAAAGACATTAGGTGGCAGGCGTATGAGGGCCTCAGTTAGTATTCAACAAATTCCTTTTTCTTTTGCTTTTTTTTCTTTTTCTCTCCCTGGTGTGAGCAGGCCTAGAAAGAAGTTTGCCCATTGCAACTGGAAGGGGCCGCAGAAGCAGGTGGTAGGGCCAAGCCCTAAGCAGTTGCATTCACCAGATGAATCTTCCTCTGGAACATGGCGAGATACAGCACCACATGGAGCCACAGGCATAGGGGAGCTCTCTCCTCGTTGCCACGAGAATCGGGGGGAGGGGATCTATCGAACAACTAAAGAAGAAAAGGAAAACAAACACAAGGGAAAAAGAAAAAAAAGAAGAATACACCTAAAACAGCTACAGGCTGCCCGAAGAAACGGGCGTCTGTCACGAACTCTGGGAGCTGCAGCTCCCAGCTTCTCAAGTAAGCGCCACCTGGCGCTGTTTTTAATCTCCCTTTTTTTCCTTTTTTCTCCTGTCCATTGGTTTCTCATTCGTAGTGCCTTCGCGGACACTAACAGACTGGAGTCCTATTCCATAGAATCAAAGGGAAACGGAAAGTAGAAATTAGGACCCTTTCTCTATTTATGCCTGTCATCTTCGTGCAGGGGCCATGCTCATTTCGGTGCAGCCATTTTCGCCCGCATGATCTGGCGATCTATGAATCTCCCACGGAGGCGGCCGTGGGCGGCCATGGCCGCGCGGCCGCGTTGCGGCCAGTGGTTCAGAAGTGGATTGGGGTTGCGCAAACCCCGCCCCCCCCCCTCGCAGAAGGGGAAAAAAAAAAAAAAAAAAAACATTTTTTTGGGGGGGGGTGGGTTTCTTGAAGAAAAGTGAAAAAGAAAAAAAAGAAAAAAAAACTAGGCGTTATTATTATTATTTTTCTTTTTTTGTGTGTTGATTGATTGATTGATTGATTGGTGGGGGAGTGGTCGCCCCCAACCCCGCACCACCCCTCACACACACACACACACACACGCGGAGGGGTTGCCCCCCCCCCTCGCACCACCCCTCACACACACACACACATACACGCCTGCACTTTTTAAAAAAATGTTAATTAATTGATTGATTGATTGATTAATTGATTGATTGATTGATTGATTGATTGATTGATTGGTGGGGGAGTGGTCACCCCCAACCCCGCACCACCCCTCACACACACACACACACACACACACACACACACACACACACACACATACTAATCGTGATGGCAAAACAACAGTACTTTCTTTTTTTCTTTTTTTTTTCATTCCGTGATCTTTTCCTTATTACAGAAAAAAAAAAAAAAAAACGTTAAATAGAAGAAGACAAAGAACTGTCAGCAAAAAATCCCCTCCCCCCAAAAAACTCTTCTTTTTTTTTTTTAGTTTCTTCTCTCGGTCTTTTCTGTTTTTTATTTTTTATAATTCCAAAAAAAACATTGTTTCCTAAAAAAATTATATGGGGTTGTAGGATTTTTCAAACCCTACAACCCCATATATATATATTTTTTTCCCTATTATTTTTTATGGGAGAAATCATGTAAGAACGTGGCTGCGGTGCGGCTGACCCCAGCCGCGGATGCGGCCATGAACATGGCCACCCTCCAAGCCCTACCCCGCGGCCACGGCCGCGGGGTATACATAGCTGGCGATCCTACGTTTGCGGCCTTGGCCCGCTTTTCTTTTTTTTTCCTTGAGCCCTCTGCTGAGATGTCTAGCTACAGCCAGGATGGGCCATGGCCGAGATGTCTAGGCCACGGCCTGGCTGGGCCACGACCAGGATGTCTAGGCCACGGCCAAGATGCCTAGACAACGGCCGAGATGTTTAGGCCATGCGTGAAAAAAAAAAATGAAAAAAAAAGCTCCAGAAAATGACAAAAGTGCATATTCTAATCAGCCCTGATCTCTGAAACGGCGACCAATGTTGTTTTTGCCTTTTCGCACTGCAGCGGGGAGGGACCTGCCGACAAGTGTTATTTTTTGCCTATTGGAAACGAGGGTTGTGACCCACGAGCCATTGCCCCTAAAGTCCATTTTGACGAAATTGCGGTTCTTTCGCTTCAACTGACGAAAATCATCTCTCTCTCCTTTCACCCTTAAACTTTCTTCTCCATCTCCATTCCAAACTCCGCCCAAAAGCGCCATAAAGACACACGCTCTTTGTCCTCATTTTTGGCAAGACATCTGCCATGCAAGGCGCAATTTTCGAAAGGTGACTCTAAAAACAAACCATTTTCTATTTATTAATTTATTTTGAAATTTAGCTGAATATGTGAGTAGCATTGTGAAAAGCCCAAAATTTCGATTTTTTTTTTTTTTTTTTTTTTTTTTCCCAAATAGAAAAGCATCAGCCCTTTTGTTAAGTGTGGAACAAGAGAGTGAACGCAATGCGTCACAACGACAGAGAGCACACCTCACTCCACATGCAAGCATCTGAACGTAGTCGTTTCGTCGGCCAAAAGCCCAGT